AAACATGTGCAGGAATGTCGGAGAGAGGATGTCGAACCTCAAAATGATTATTTTTAGTGTGTACATGAAAAGAAGGTTCTAGGTTGGCTTAATTGTGTCCTTATTTCGAACGCTCCAAGATTGAAAGGAGTGAACCCCGTCCGAGTCCATCGGGCCTTACGCCCTTCTGAGAGTTGAACAGTACCAAATTCCTCTCAAAGCACAACACCATTCTGTTGTACATAGGCTCAGCCCCGTCAGTCATTTCATTGACCGGACAATTATCCGAACACTGCTGCGGTTCTTAGCGAAAGTTGAAGGCGCGGCGCATCCCCAAAAAACTGAAGCGATTCACAAAAATTGAGTTATAGATTCTCTTGAACTTGATACTCTTATACTGTTCAGGGTCGTGAGTGTGAACATGGGCTTAACTATATTTGACTTCCTTCAATCAAGTGCCCAGAAAACTCGTCCAAACACGCCCTTTCGCATAACATGGTGGAATGGAGGTAGAAAGAAAGGGTCTTGTCTAGGATGGGGTCGACCGTTTGTTTTGCAATGGTTTTTTTTATTTTCAGACCACCATCGCACGTCCAACTTCACTAACGAGCGCACATACGGTATCAGCTTGAGGGTGGGATGTGCTTTTGAATACCTTTGAATGCGCCACGCAAGTCGATTTCGGATTGTACATGCTTATGAATAGTCAACTAATTTGGGCCTCTATGAAGATTTCGAAACAGTGTTCTTGGGTCTTTCTTAGGGTCCTTCATATTTTCGGAAGCTTTCGATTCCGGAAAAGCGACGTGGAGTGACAGGTAGCATTTTTAGGCAACAACTTATCAGACGTTATCATTTGACTTCATCACGTGTATGAAGTCCCGATGATTCACGGGAGCGATAAACGGGCAGCTGGGCAACTGGGCAAATTGACAAGGTCAGTGAACAGTCTCTGGACTCCGACTGTCTTTACTAATTTGTGTTCAAGGCGATGTCTGGCGCACTTCAAAGACCACTGCTGGAAATTATGATTTAGTGTGCTTACCCTTGACTGTACTGCCATTGCAGTACTATTAGATTACAGCAGGTACTTCACAGAATACTAGGTCACTTTATTGTTAGCATTATCGAATGCCTTGGCAGCCAGAACGCGCATGTTTAGGCCGATGTCAGACTTTGCGAATCGCGCGATTCGCTAGCGTCCGCGGTCGCGTTGCGGTACCAGCCAATTGAGTGATTCACTGGCCGCGACGCGACCGCAGACGCTAGCGAATCGCGCGATTCGCAAAGTCTGACATCGGCCTTAGTTCAGAATTGTTAACTCGAAGTGGCTTTCGATTACGATTAGCATTAATATATTGTATCAAGAACCAGTTACTTACCAGATCAGCGAAAGATCGCTCCAGGAAGAGTCTTGCTTCGACGTCGGACTTAGGACCCACCAGCACCGCGAATGGAAGTGATACCTAAACGCTGAGGAAGTATGTTGTGAGCTTCGGAGGATATGCTTGAACGTTTGGCTGCCGTCTAAGGCCCCGTGAGAAACGGAAGACAGACCGACTCATTAAGACCCCACATATTATTTCACATATTTTGTTCTTATAAGTTTTTACATTTCTTTATGCGGAGATTTAGTCCATAGAGGTGATTTATTATATACACTTTAAGACTTTCTTCCCTCCCCCTCCTTGTACCCATACCACATTTTTGTGCTCGAAGGAGTTACGGAGCTACACAATGAATGTGCGTAACTTTTCCATTGGAGGCTACCAGGAAGGTCTTTCAGGGCGTGACGAGCTTTTTGAAAACGGTCTTTTGCATGATATAGGGGCAGATGCGGGGACCACAGAACCATGTTTAATTTTTCCTGAACGGCCCTCTGAATACCAGAAAAGGGGGTCCCTAGTTCGATTCCTCTTGGTGACAAATTTTTGCATTTCGAGTTGACGTTCCAAAATTCGCGCAAAATGGAGTTCTGATTGTTCTGGTTGGTTCTAACTCCATTTTGCGCGAATTTTGGCACGTCAACTCGAAATGCAAAAATTTGTTACCACGAGGAATCGAACTAGGGACCTCCTTTTCTGGTATTCAGAGGGCCGTTCAGGAAAAATTGAACATGGTTCTGTGGTCCCCGCATCTGCCCCTATATCATGCACCGTTTTCAAAAAGCTCGTCCTCGGCGCATCCCTGAAAACTTTTCCCTGGTGAGATGCTCAGCATTCTCGAAGATTCGATTCATGGCATCAGCCTTTTTGCCTACGAGCTCCAAGCCACAGTTTGTCTTCAATCGAATACTGTAACAGAGGCAGTAGCGCTTCGATGCCACGGAGTCTCGTCGAAGTTGAAGCCTTCGTTGCCACGCTTATAAAAGTGAAGCTATAATCCCATAAATGTACGCTGGCCGTCAGTGAAGCCCAAGTGCAAGTGCGTTGAGCAGTGTTGAAGAACCCGTGCTTCTCCACTTTGGAATTAACTAGTCGCTAGGAGGGCGAGAAGATACATCGAGTGTAGACCACAAACACAATTGACGACGGCCAAGAAAAAGGATAATAGGCTGCCACTTCATTCTTGGCCGTCGTCACTTGTGGTGTGTGGTCTGCATCGACGCGCTTCTCGTTTTCTGAAATGGAGTGTAAGTTATACAGCGCGGTCGCCTCTAATTGTGGAAGGTGTTGCATACAGTTCAAGATACGCCCTTCCACATGAGGATTAGATTGGAAATAGTTACAAGAAACTCCCCCCATATGTTCTTCTCTCTCCTCCTCTCTTTAATTTTTTCAGGTGTAAAAGTTATCATCCACGGATCTCTTTCACTGAGGGTCCTCTCTCACTGAAAGATCTCGAGCCGGTTGGTGGCGAGGCTACGTGGCGCGACCCCAGGTGGCGGATAGGGGGTAAATCGCGGACCAAAAGCCACCATGTACTTGCCCTGAGACGCAGGTGGATTCAGGGGATGGACTCCCTGTTTCTGTAGTGCTGTGTTGATTCATACCAGCTGTCTCCACTCAGGCGCATCCATGCATGCTTGCGTGTGTGGTGCGCTCTGTGTGTGTGCGGTTGGTATCCTGCATGTCGGCACAGCCAAAAGCTTGCATTCAAGTGACTGGGAAGTACATGGGAGGCGATTCGGGGGCCGCC